CTCACCTGTTAAAGGGAAAAATAATACTTAGCTCAAAGGGTTGTTGTGAAGATTAAGTAAAATAATACTTGCAAAAAATCTGGCCCGGTACTAACTTGATATGAGTACTCAACAAATCTAAGCTGCTGTTGGTGATACTGTTATTTGGGGCAATCTTTTCTCTTTCTTCCCAGGAGTGGTGCTTCTGGGACAAGCATCCCCTGGAATTGTGCAGTAGGCCGGCTCTCTCGATGGCCCCACAGAGGCGGGGCGACCTGCCTGTCATGCATGTTATTGCCGGACATGTGATAAAAATGTCGTCCTTGCTTATCAGCCCAAGGACTTTAAAACCAGTCCCACCAAGCATTGTCCCCTGATGGCTGCAGGTTTTACACTCTGTAAGTAGCTCCTTTCTGAGCAGATCCCCTCGGCCCCTGTGGAAGGACCACAAACAAAATGGTCCTGAATCTAGAAGGCACGTCCCCCTTGGTCTCCACTTCACTCATCTAGACCCGGGAAGAGTTAAATTGTAGACTACACCCGGCACTCTGTTCGCAAAACTATAAAAGTACAAAGTATGGTCTTTATAAGCTCTTGTCACCCTCATTTTTTGGCTGAGAAGACCAAAGCCCTGAGAGTAAGTGACTTGCCCAAGTTCACTGCAGAAGGTGGCATCGGAGCCAGGATTAGAATCCTAATTCTAATTCCTTATTCAATTTTCTTCCAACCCTTCTATGCTGCCTACCTTTCCCACCCTACTTCATCACTGATTCAGGTATAAATGCACCAGGGAATTCTGCCCTCAAGTGGGCCAGGGAACTGGAGTTCCCAGAGACCTGGGCTCAGGAGCGCTGTCTTGAGATGCACAACTCTCTTGCTCAGATGCATTCACTCGCCCTTGTCACACCTTTGCTCTGCCCCGCTGACAGCCCTTTTACTGGGTGGGAACGTTGGCCTGGAAACCTCTCCTGGCCCACAGGGGCCTATCAGAGGAGGGGGAAGGGTCAGGAGAATGGAAACTTGGCCCCTCCAGGATAGCCGAGGACTGAAATACAACTGTGCCTGGTGGGCTTGTTTTTAAAAATTTGAACCACTCAGTGAAGGAGTCATCTACGTGTTCCTCCCGGTCTTTCTGTCCTTGCAGACCATGAGACAGGGCTGGGAAGTTCTTCCTGCCAATTTGCCCTCACTGACACTTCTACACACGTGTTTCTATGAGTTAAGCATCAATAATCTTTGTCACCTTCCTTTAAATAATTCCCTTAAAAGCTCCCTGAGGAGTAATGTGTTCTCAGACATACCTTGATACATTAGTCAATCAAATTGATTCCTTGCGCAGCAAGAAAAATATAAAACAGCAGGAGTCCTGCTTGCTGCCTTCCTCCCAGTACCAACATTGTGTCCCCGTAACACTTGTTTACTGCCCACTGAGGGCCCAGAGTGTCCGGGAAAGGAGGTGGCTGAGTACAGACAAGAAAATGAAGGTGAGTCCTCTGCGAAGTGGTCCGTCCAGCTCTGCCTCCTGCCCTGCCAGCTGGAGTGTGAGAATTGATGGGAGCAGAACAAGAAGAAGGAGGAAGCAGTTATAGAAAAACAAAAAGGAGGAAATGATTCCAGAAAAAAGGGGAAACAGTTATTTCAGTCTTAAAGAATGAGATAATTAGACCACAGAACACTGACCACCAGTCAGAGAATGGAAAAAATATCATACACACTTATGGAACTTTCCCCACAGCACATATAACCTTTAAGTCATAGAAAAGAATTTAGTCCCCAAAGCCATGACGTATAGAACAATTATAACTAACCTTTACCTAAACATAAACTACTAGCATATAAAAAGAAAAATATAGAAGTAGACAGGGTCTTCTCCATTTGAGGAGACAGATCTGTTTCCCCTTAGGAAATGTACTTTCGCTTTGCACCCTTAAACTTTTTTTATTTTTTTTTTTTACTTCAGCGTATTATGGGGGTACAAATGTTCAGGTTACATATATTGCCCTTGCCCCACCCGAGTCAGAGCTTCAAGCGTGTCTATCCCCTAATGGGTGCACACTGCACCCATTAGGTGTGAATATACCCATCCCCTTCTCCCCTCTCCCACTTGCCCGACACCGGATGAATGTTACTACTATATGTACACTTAAGTGTTGTTCAATTAATACCAATTTGATGGTGAGTACATGTGGTGTTTATTTTTCCATTCTTGTGATACTTCACTTAGTAGAATGGGCTCCAGCTCTATCCAGGATAACACAAGATTGCACCCTTAAACTTTACTTACAATAAATTCTTCACACATACTAGCCGGGCATCTGTCATCTTTCTTCGTCACGCAGGTCCGGCAAGCCAGGGGCCCAAGAACTGGGGCAATGCTTCAGGGTCCAGCCGTGAACTGAATGGACAGGAATGACAACAGGACACAGCCAGCCAGCATTTCTCCCTAGAACTTCCCCTCTTCTCTCTTCTGCTGCTGTCAGTGAATCTTGATAAACCATTTCCTAACCCTTCAATGACATTCTACAAGCCCTTTTCTCTGATAAAAGTTTGAGTTAATTAAATGTGGGAAGTTTGTTTTGTGTTGTGTTGCAGGGCATTTGGTGATATAAAGTGTCTAAGATAAAGAAACCTCTGAAATCATTAATCTGGACAGTTTCATAAAGGATAGCACAACTGCACTGACACCCAATCTTATTTCACTAGGGTGGAAAGCTCACTTGTACAGCTTGTAGAAGTTTCATTATGCTTATAATTACCCCTTTCACCTTCACACAAAGGTCCCTTGACAATAATTGCATAACCTTCTTGGGTTTCTTATTCCTGGCTTGACAGCCAAATCTGTGGAACTTTAAATTATTGATGCTTTTTAATTTTTAAGCCTTTTGAGGTTTGTGTAATCTAAAGCTTGAGGAAATTTGGCAATAATATTACTTACATTCCTCTATTGAAAATGCCATCTGCAAGGTCACATATGACCACCTAGTCTCCAAACCCAGAGAAACTATCTTCCCAGGGCCTGTCAGTTGACTGTTGCAAGTAACAAAAAACCCAAAGTAAATTAGCTAAAGCAAAAAGCAGAAAGTGTAGGAGAGGGGGCTTTAGGAGTTCAATGTCATGAGAACGCAGTCTCTCTCCATCTCTCCTTCCTGTCCTCTGTGCTGGCAGAGGGGCCATTATCTGTGTTGTATTCTCTGTTCACAGAAGGGCTATTTCTCTGTGTTGTCTAGATGGCTCCCAGAAGCCTCTTGGTTTTTGTTTTCATTTTTTTTTAAACTATTCTACTTTTTCTTTTAATTTTTTTTTTCACCAAACCAGATCCAGGACCAGAAGCCTCTTGTTTATACACCCCTGGACTCAAGTTGAGGAGGAAACAACAAGCCTCTTGCTTGCTCAACCTAAGAAAAGCCCTGGGATCTGTTCTAAGTGGGCGTGATTGGTCTGCTTGGGGCACATGTCCATCCCTGAACTCATCACTGTGGCCATGAGGATGCCCCGCTGTAATCGGCAGAGGCTAGGTGAGCGCTCGGTCCCGGAGCTGGAAGTCCCATCAGTTCCACTCAGGGCAAGTGTTCTGAGAATGCAGGTGGAGGATTTCCCATCAAAGAAACTCCAGTAAGTGTTACCTGAATAAGGAAGAGAACATACACCAGCTCAGCAGATGTCTACCATACCCTCCAATCCTTTGCAGGATTCCATCCTGTTGCCCTTCTTGAAATTCTGCATTCCTGCCTTCTGTCACACAGAGCTCTGGGTCTCCCTTCTCTCTGACTTTCCTTGTCTTTCTCCTCCTCCCCTGTAAGTAAAGGGATCCACAGTCCGTCACCCCTCCTAGCTTAACTTCACGGAGCTCAGACTCCTAAACTTGCTACCACCTCTCCTGTGCCTTCCCCTACCCTGTTCCCTTTACCTGGAACACCATTTCCTCTTCCCACCCCTCACCTTTGCATATTGGTATCCTCTGTATCCTGGTTCAAATAACTCTTTGTGATTCTTCCATATCTAATTTTCTTCATGCCAGAAATAAACGCCCCTTTCCTCTAAATTCTTATCTTTATCCTCTCTCAAAGAGGGAATTTTCCGTTTTATATATTGAAACATGTGTCACCGTTGGCTCCAGGCTCCTTCAGGATGGAAATATTTATTAATATCTTCCTCGCTGAGCCCTCTACCCAATCCTGCAAATCCTTATGAAGCTAGTATTTGTTGAATAAATTCACATGGCACTCCCCATGTTATTAAAGTGCACTTATATCCATCATATTTGCTTCTCAAAGCAAATCTAGAAGAGCAACTATTACCCAGTTTTGTATATGAGAACACTGGGAAACCAAGAAGATAAAAGATTCAACTGAAGACAGAGACTCTAAGCTAGTTTTGTGGAAAAGCTGGGAGTATGAACTCGGATCTTTACAGTTACAAGACTGTAATTTTCCAAGAAAAACTTGCTGGTATGTGTTACATCATTAAAACGTGCAGTACAGTTGGTAACATTTCAAATAGCTTACATATTTCACTCTGAACTTTCACACTCTCTGTTTACCAATTACTGGGATTGTGTGCTAATTTGCTCCTCAGATAGTTAAAGAATATTTAAAAGTAAATCCAGATCAAGTGGCTCGGTTCTGGCTAGGGCGGGTTTGGACATTTTTGCTGCTGCTGCTGCTGCTGCTGACGGCGTCTCTCCCTCTCCCTTTCTCCCTCTGTGTCCGTCCTCTGGTATAAACACTCAGCAAGGGAAGAGATGAGCTGGATTTCTTTCCCCGACGCGTCTTATGAAGCAAAACACACGTCTCTCACTATTAAAGACTCCAAGAGCTTTCCCTTCCAACGACTGAGAACCCTGAGTGGACCTAGACTGCGGGCGACAGGCCTTTTGGGGTCCGAGTGCGGAAGGGCCGCGCGGCCCTCTTCGCATCCGGGCCTCGGGCTCCGGCCGGCCCGCCCCGGGGGAGGAGCCCGCCGCGCAGCGGCTCATAAACCCGGCCCGGCCGCGGGGCTCCGGGTTTCCGGTGGAGCCGGAGCCTAGGGACCGTCTGGGGAGTCGGCAGGAGGGCAACGCTGCGAGCCGTCGCCATGGCCGCGCCGTCGCGGCTCCTGATCCGCGGGGGTTGCGTGGTCAACGACGACCTCTCGCAGGTGGCCGACGTGCTGGTGGAGGACGGCGTCGTGCGGGCGCTCGGGCGCGACCTGCTGCCGCCCGGGGACGCGCCCGCCGGGCTGCGGGTCCTGGACGCCGCCGGCAAGCTGGTCCTGCCCGGCGGCATCGACACGCACACGCACATGCAGTTCCCCTTCATGGGCTCGCGGTCCGTCGACGACTTCCACCAGGGCACCAAGGTACCCGCCGCCGCGCCCCCTTCCCGCGCCGCCTCCGGCCGCCCGGGGCCGTTTATTCCCTACCCTCCTTTCTCTTTGTCCCTTATCTCCGCATCCCCGCCCCCCAGTTTTCATTGATGTTCTGTGTAAATCCACAAATCTTTATTTTCTATAGAAATTTTTTTTTTTTTTTTGACAGAGTTACCCTCTGTCACCTAGGCCGGAGTGCAGTGCTATGATCGAAACTTACCCTAGCCTTGAACTTTTGGGCTCAGGAGTTCAAGAGATCCTCCTAACTCAGCCTCCTGAGAAGCTAGGACTACAGGCATTTAATGCCACTCCCAGCTAATTTACATTTTTTTTGGAAATGGGGTCTCCATATGTTGTCCAGGCTAGTCTCCAACTCTTGGCCTCAAGTAATCTTCCCGCCTGCCTTGGCCTCCCAAAGTGCTGGGATTAGAGGTGTGAGCCACCACAACTGGCCTATAGAATCTTGTTTTAAAGGTGGCACTCCCAGCCATTTCTGTCCATCCTCTCTGAACCAAAACCAAATGAAAAATCCATTCACCTGTTAGTTACTGCCTGGACTCAAAGTTAGGAGTGTGGTGGGTAACCTGTCTGAGTGGGCTGGAAGCCCACTGCATTCACACCTCCACCCACACCCCCGTCCCCAGTAGAAAAAAATACAGCCCTGACCAGGGTTTCACAGAGAAAATATTCCAGAACACTCACACACCAGGGCAACCTAGCCCCATCTCTGCTGTGACCCACTTGTCCTGGGGACATCAAATATGACCCTGATGCTTGCTGCTTGAGTACCTGTAGCTTTACTGGGGTTGCAAGATGACAGTGGGATCTCCCATCCCCAGATGAGGTAGGCTTGGATTTCTCTAGATACAAAGATCTAGAAGTTCAAGTCAGTGAAAAGAACCTTAAATATTTCCCCAAAGCTCCTGAAAACAAGATCAGGAGAATAACAGGGCCGCTTTAGAGGAATATAAAGTTAAAATTCCGCTCTTGGCACTTGAGCTAAAGCCAAACCCACACCCTCCTTGAGTCTTGCGTTTGGGCTGTCTTGAGGGAAATGGCTCCTTCCAAAGTGAAGATGTATTGATATCCTTAAGGCCCAGGATCTTCACTCGGGGACGTGTGAGATTTTCCAGAGGAACACGCCTTCATATGTGAAACAATTCAGGCTGTTTAGTCCAAGTACATAACCTAAAACTAAAGCAGTTTTGGTGATGGTCACTTCCTTTCCTTACTGATTTCTAACCATTTTGCTCTCCTTACACTTCCCCTGCTCCAAGTTCCCCAATCCTCTCTGATTGACCAGAATGTTTAACAGAAAAAAGACAGGCAGGCAGATCTGACCCAGAGAGAAGGGTCAGGGGCAGGCTGCTCACATAAACATGTGGAAAGCTTCTTCTTGGTTACTAATTATTCACCTTTATTATAGGGTCAATAAAGTCTTTTGTGGGACAGATCATTATCTGCTTTGAAAATTGGCAAACTTTGTTTTGAATATTCATTTTTCCCTTTTGCTAAAAAAGGGAAATGTTCTGAATTATAATGAAGTTTTATATTTTAAATAAATTTTTTCAGCTATCAAAACAATACATGATTATAGAAAACTGAAAAAATAATAAGAAAGTAAAAAGAGGAAAAATATTACCGGTATTCTCCCTCTCAATGACAACCAGTGTTTTGGTGTATTGTCTTTATGCTTTTTAATCTGCTTTATTTTACATAATTGAGGTTATCTTGTGCACGTGTGTATGTGTGCATGTGTGCATACCTGTATTTAAAATTTTGTATCCAAGCAGTTGACCCAAAAAAGTAAAAAAAAATTTGTAACCTGCTGTCTTCAGTTATAGTGCAAGCACTTTCTGTTATCACAGATTCCTCATGAACGAAGTGCTTTGCTGGTGGCAAGGCATTCCATTGAACACCCCCATTTGCAAGGTGGGAGGCTGCTCTTTCTGACCATAATTTACCAAGCCCGCTAGCAGCGTTCTCTCTCTCTCTCTCTCTCTCTCTCTCTCTCCCAGCTGAGCAGTAAGTGAAATTTCACTTCTCTCTCTCCCATCAGGATTCCCGTAAAGCAGCAAAGAAGAATGTTGTGGGGAGGTTCCCTCCCTTTCTCAAGATGTCTGTGCATGCCCCAAGGTCCTGGGAGGTGGTTCCTAGTCTTCTAGCTGTTCCTTGGCCATTCCCTGGTTTTCTATCATAGAGAGATTTACAGTTTCTGAGAAGGCAGGTCCATATTATAGGATATTATCAACATGTGAAAGGACTTACCCTCCAGCTGATTGTCTAGGCATTTATATTCTTAAAAGTTTTCAAAACATTAAATAAAAACATGTTCTCTAGGAGCTTAGGATCTTAAGCAGAAAATGATATGGTCAGAGCTATTAAGGTTGAAGGATTAGCAAATACCAAATTCCTTTTGAATATTAAACAATACTCACACAGGGGCTCCGTTGCAAAAGTCTACTTCAAAACTGGGTGGTTGGATCCCAGGCGCTAACCACTCCCACCCTCAGAAACAGATAAGACTTCATAAAGGGAACCAGATGGGTAAACACAGATACACATGAACATGAATGCATTGGCCCGAGTTCTGGAGGAAGGGCCTTATGGAGTTATTTTGTCTTCTTTCCTAGTCTTCACAATAATTCCCAGGCAACATTGGTGGGTCTTTGTTTTGGGGAGCCAGGGACAAGGCCTTTTATAAAATCTGATTGTATATGTTAAACTTAAAAAACATCTTCTTAGTAATACTGTTAAGTAACACTTACTTTATCAAGCATTTGCCACATACCAGGCACTATGCCAACTTGTACATGATCTTCCAGCAATCCCAGGTGCCATTATCTACTTTTTACAGCTGAGGAAATTGAAACCTAAGTTACCTGCCCAAGGTCGCACGCCTAGTTCTATAAGTGACCGACCTAGTGACTCTTCAAATTCAGTACTGCCTGACCCCTTCACTAAAGCTCTTACCCACCAGGCTCTATTCCTTCAAAAAAACATCTAATGTTCAGATTTGTGAGGGTGGCAAGATTGCTTGAGAAAGCCATCTAAGTTGCACATTAATTTAAGATGGCTGTCCTAAAAACTAGAGCAGACATCGTCTTTAGAAAATACAATAGCTCTCCACCTACCCAAACCTAGAGGCAGTTAAAAGTTATCAAAATAAATATACATTGTAGGTGTTAGGTTGGCAAGGCATTTGTACGTGCATTTATAGCCACATCATCTCTAAGGGGACAGAAATGGGTACCTTAAGTATAGAAAGCCATAAAGTAGAAAAGATATATCATGCTTTCAGGAGATGGGCCCCGAAAGGTTAGAACGATAGATGTTTGCTTTCTGCATCCACGAGGCTGACCATTTATAATATCTGACAAATAGAAGGGATGCTGTTTGTGGTATTCTATTTATTGATCACTAGATTGTGATGGGACCCAATTTAACAAATGAAATACAAGTCAACTAAAGGTTATATATTTTGTAAATCTAATTCATGTCAGAGATTGGTTATAAGCCTGATTTTCTTAATTACAGGTAAAGGCTCTCTGATGTAACTAATGGAAATAATGTTCTGCTTTAAAGAAATCATATATCATTTTGTTGGTCTATACTAGATGTACAGTGGTCTTCCAATAATTCAATATCCATGAGGAAGGACAATAAGGTTTTTTTATTCAATGGATATTGTGAATTCAATACACTTAAAGGAATTATGACTTTGCTTTTCTAGGTGCTGTGATAAGAGAGTAAGTTATGAGAGTTCTGCAAGTTTTCAAACACATATGTTTATATTCAGATAGGTGTGCAAGTTGGAGTGGGTAGACTCTCTTTAAGAACCTGGTAGTGTTAGTAGCTGGCAGAAGAATTGTCTTTTTAAAAATTGGGAAACCATGCAACATGCTTTTCTTTTCTCTTTTCTTTGTCTTTTTTGTAAATGACAAAAAGTTCTCGAAATTATTGGAAAGGAAATTATACTTTGCTTTGAAACTTTTTGGTAAAATGCCATCAAGGCGGTTACTTACAAGGCAATATAAGACATGTGATTAAGCACACATTTGTGGTTGTATTTATAGAGCTCCCTCAACTTGTTGAAGATCTCTGCTTCAGAAACTTTGACTGCAAACCAAATCCCTTTTTCTGTTGCTTGCCAGGGCTCCAGGCTGGGTGGAGCTATGTGGGCTGCCTGCGTGGCTTACTGCGTGACCTCTTCTGACAAGTCACTTCCTCTCTCGGGAATGTCAACATTTTCTTTTTCTTTTTTTTTTTTTTTTTTGAGACAGAGTCTTGTTCTGTTGACCGGTAGAGTGCCTTGGTGTCAGCTTAGCTCACAGCAACCTCAAACTCCTGGGATCAAGCGATCCTCCTGCCTCAGCCTCCCAAGTAGCTGGGACTACAGGCACATGCCACTACAGCTGGCTAATTTTTTTTATATTTTTAGTTGCCTGGCCAAATTCTTTCTATTTTTTAGTAGCGACGGGGTCTCACTCTTGCTCAGGATGGTCTCGAACTCCTGAGCTCAAGCAATCCTCCTGCCTTGGCCTCCCAGAGTGCTAGGATTACAGGCGTGAGCCACCTCACCCGGCTGGGAGTGTCAACATTTTCTTATCTTTGAAATGAGGTATTTGTTAGATTGAACAACTAAAAAAAATATTTTTAAAACTTATAAAAACAATATGTACTTATCATCCAGCCCTGAAGAAATGCTGGAGCATTATAGTTGCTCAATATGCACTAGTTAAACCAATAAACTGCTTTTTAAAAAAGAAAAATACAGATGAGTATAAAGAAAAATAATATGGAAATCATCTATAATTTTAACATTTG